TATACCATCTGTGTGTTCAGGGCCCATTTTATTGCTGGACATTTCACTTGCATGGCCTCATTTAGGACTTGGAGTTTATTCCATGGCGTACGTGTTAGCAGAGGCCAGAACCAAAAGAAGTCAGTTTAGAGTTACTCTAGAGTTGTTCTCATGCATGTTGTATATGCATTTACATGTGAACTGAAACATGGTATATTTGTATATATACATGGTGCATTATATATGTGCATACATATATAATTTGTCCTTATTTTTCTCCTAGTTTTAGAGAAAAATGCACAGCATTGTTGCTTAAAATCAAAGATTCCACCACCACCCCACCACTACCATTAACACCCTCCAAGTACTTGTTCAAACCAACTTTTATGGTGGGGAAATGTTTATGAAATGTAGATTTGTATGTTCGTGAAAACGTGTTTGAAAGACGTTGTTCTAGAAGGTAATACAGTTTGCTCTTCTATGTAGTAACAGATAATATGAGTCATGCACGGCTACAGAGTCCGATGGGGGTGGGGGTTGATTCTACCCCAAACACGAAAAAGCAGCTTCCAGAAAAAAAGGAAGTGTGGCATCGAATTTTTATTTAAGGAATGTATGTTCATTTTGAAAGTATGTGAAAACTAACCTGTGGAAAGAAGAAAAGAAAGGGAAAGTGTCACGGAAAGAAAAGAACAAGATGCAGGTGTTCAGCTAGAGAGGGGACTGGTTTTTAGGCGGGAGAGGTCAAGTAGACCTCACCATCTTGTGAATGGTGTCTGCAGGGCAGGGCATGCACCCTGAGACCAAATTTGAAGCCAGTTGTTTGTTTTGTTAACTCCTAGGTAATCCTAGGCAACAAAGAGTTATTGTGTGAATTTCACAAGTCCTCAAGTCCTGAGGGCTGGGCGGTGCAGGGGTTAAAAAGTACCTCTTCTGCCACCCGCTCCCCAACACCAACCTGGGCCTAAGCCTGGCTTAGGTCACAGATTCTAGAGAGTTTAGGGGGTTGGACTCTTGGTTTCGAGTCCCTACATGCTGACTGGGTGGGGAGAGCGCTCCACGTTTGGCTGGGGGTGCCTGGGGCCCCGCAGGGGGCCGTGGGAACAGAGCCACCTGTGGAGGGAAGGGAAAAGAAGGGAGTGGGGCAGTAGAGAGGAGCATGGAGCTGAGTGGCCAGGGGCTGCTGGCCTCCCTCTTCCGCTGACCCTCCTGAGGGCAGGGAGTTGGATTGGAGGGGTGGGAAACTAGGAGCCTGATTCAGAGCCCACGTCTTCTCCCCCTCTTCCCGCAAAGGGAGGGTGCCCAGGTTGCTGGTGCCCGTGCTGGCAGGACCAGTTTAGGAGTGACCAGACAAGGTATGTGGAAATGGGTTGTGGAGTTCCAGAAAGCTCTCGAGCAAAGCTGACCTCCAGGTCACTCAGCTGCCTTAACCGGCTGCCCTTGGCTGGCAGAGCATTTAGCACTTAACCTTGTGGCTTCCCTGCTGGTGGACCACAGTCGTGGGCCCTAATGTGGCCCCCTCTTGCTGCCTTCTAGCCAGGGCCTCCCCTTGGCCTGGGCTGAGGCCTGGATTCTGGATTCCAGCCTTCTTCAGGAAGCCCTTCTGGGTGTACAACATGGTCAGTCATCATGCTAGGTTAACTCACCAAGCCTGGGAGTAATGAAAACTCACATTCACGTCGGACCTGGTAGTTTACATATGGCTTTTATATACGTCTGTCATCTGAGCCTCACAATTCTTTCAGGTACTGTTTTTATGCTCACTTTACAGATAGGAAACCTAAGGTTCAAAGAAATGACATGACTGGCTCAGAGCCGTAAGCTGGTAAATAGTAGAGCCAGGGGTCTGGTGTCAGACCTTGTTCTTCCAAATCCTGAGGCTTAGATCACATTACTTTTTGGCATTGCTGATAACGTAAAAATGGGGTTATTCCTCCCCATACAGTAAAAAGAAATAAAATAAAAGCCGGTAGGTGAGCTAATAGCTGATTTTAACCGTTTGATGCCTGGAGTTCCTACGCTTGGGGCCAGGTCTCAGTTTATTGCTCTAAATCAAAACAATCCCCGTGAATGCCCAATGAGGCTCTCAAATTGAGAAGTTGATTTTCGTCAGAGTAAATGAAGAATATTATTATATTTTACACGTCAATAAATCAATGTAGCCCTAATTTTGCCACGCAGGAAATCAATTCTGGCCTTTCTAAACCATCAAAGATGTTATGAACAAAGTAATTTCACAAATTATGGCAAGTAACACATTTATTGATGACTGCAGTTTAGGAATTGAGAATCTGTGAGCACCGTAATATAATATGGTGCACTGGCGTGAGCTGAGTGAAACACAGATTATGTGGTGAAACTGTAATGCATCATTTGCTATTAGTGGACTAGTAATAATTACCAGTTTCAAAGCTGCTCTTTCGATGTAATCTTTAGTCTCAATCGTAACAGCCCCTCTCATTGACATTATGATTACACTAGCTGCCCTCATGATCTAGAATATCTAGTTGATAGGATACTAAAATGCCATAGTGAAAACTGTATGTTGTGTGCTCATCATAAGATGAAATGGCATCTTCTCTGACCTGATGTATGAGAGGGGAGGGTAACAGCATAGCGTGAACATATACTGTAAAGTGATCACATCAACTGGCTCTGAAAACAGAATTTTAGGAAGGTTCAGAGCAGCAAAATAAGACAGACTTTTCTCGTTTAAGTCTTTTGGAGAGGATACAGGTGCGCTCCCGGACGCAGTGCTATATAACTTTAGCACGCACCAGTCGCCATCCCATTCACGGTGCATGCGAAACCGGCATTGCTAATTATGGGTCCAGTCCTGGGATTCAATAGAATATTACAAGCTAAGATACAATTTTAAGGCATTTGGACTGATGAAAGTGTTAAGGACTTGTTTCAGCTGACAAATCTCCTTTTTACTTACCCAATTCAGATTGTCAGGCTAAATGTATGATAATAACACAGAGTCCTAGGGAGGCAAAGGAGAAAGCCGCGGAGGGTCACATTAGTTGGAACCAGATAGTTTTTTTCCTGCCTATTTAGGACCCCAGTCATTGTTCAACAACAACAAAAAATTTATGAAAATACTCCCAATGATGCTTTTTATTTCCCTTTGAAGAGAGGAGGAAAACAAAAATAGGCAGATAATGTGATCCTAATGTCAGCATTTTCTTTCAAAATCTTTCTGCCTTTTTTTTTTTTTTCTCCCTCTACATTAGGCAAATGTTGGAAACCTAATTTTGGTATCTTATCATCTAATCTTGTTAAAGAGATTTACCCAGGAGTGGGATACATTGACGGAGATTATAAATGCATTGTAAAGTAAATTACAAGGTCAGGGCAGGGAGTCCATTATTCAGACAAGTGCTTGAGCAAGCGGGCTTGTTTTGGAATGCAAGTGTTTGGGGCTCCTGAGAAGACCCTGCCAGCTTTTCTTTCTGACTTGCTAAATGGAGGAATCATAATTGATTACTTCCTCATTCCCACTCTTTAGCTCCATGGTGGATTTTTTGCTTTTAAAAAAAGTTACTGACATATACTAGCTGGGGGCCTTAAGCGACTCGTCTAGTCCCCCTTTTAAAAAGACAGGCTAAAGTTTATTTCTCATTTGTGTTTTACACACTGTCTTTTTTGGAATCCCTGGGAAGTTAACTATTTTTCTCCTCCTTCTCCTTTGGCCACCAACATTTGTGCCCTTTTTAATGCTGTAGTTGACTGGTAAACTGTTAGTTACTCCCTTGGTGTATATATATATTTAAATTTAGCTATCTCCAAAAATGAATGATTGTGAAGTCAAGTTGGCCCCTCTTTGCCAAAGTGGCATTTACCACTCTCGGGTTCTTTTCAGCGAGAGAGAAATAATGTGACTTAAGCAGGGCCCCTCTCCAGACGGCTTGGCTACTGGCCAAAGAGTTGACTAGCTGAACTGTATCTTTCTGTTTCTTTCTCAACTGGAGCTGAGGCTCAGCCGAGGGCGCAGGATGTTGTATAATTTGGTTCGCGTTGTTAGCCTCTCAAAATAATGAGGAGGAGGATAGTGTAGCATTTCTCAGCCTGCTGCCCGTCATGGTGCTGGCTGCTTTAACTGTTCTTAAACTAGGATGCTTGTGTCTGCTTAAGTTGGCACCAGCCACTCCTCCTAACTTCTCCAGACTTGCATTTGTTTGACTGGGGGACAACTCCTAAAGATTCGATACGGCCTGTTGGTTAAATCCGAATTAAATTTCTCTTTTGAGATTTTTTGCACCATCCCTTGAGATAAAAATGGGAGTCCCTGTTGGGTGTTGTGGGACCAGGATTGGGACTCACTGATCCTCACGCCGGCTGGGATGTGAGAAGGTTGCTAGTTTCTCTTCCTGGAATTATTTTATGAGTATCTTCTCATTTTTAACAATATCAACAATTAGTGTGTTTCAGGCTAGGATTAAAAGCATCTCTAGGGCCATAGAGAATTGTAATGAGTTGACCTTCTCTTTTTTGATGTCTCTATGAAATGATTGCCTCTTTAGAAAGTTCACCTGCCACCCAGGGGAGAATAGAACGATGGGATTTAGGAAGCAGAGAAGTTTCCCTTAGGTTACCTTGTCCAAGTCCCTCACTTAACAAATGAGGAAATGGAGGCACAGAGATGAAGTCCCTTGCCCCAAACCACAGCTGGTGAAACAAAGATGTTTGCTGAGTTTCCCTAGAATGTAGGGATCCTCATTCTTAAGCTTGTCTTGGTCCAGATTTTTCTGCTTTGGAGATTGGATTTAAAATTCTTACAACTGAATGAAATGGCAGAAAGACTGACTGGACAGCTATTTATTGGGCACCAATATGTGCCTGGCACCAGATGTGCCAGGCACCAATGTAGGCACAGGCAATAATAGGTCAGTTAGGGTTTAGGCCTGTGGGGTTGAGGGCTGGGGGGCAGGGAAGGCAGGAGGTGAATCATAAAGAAGCAGTTGCTAATGCCCTCCTCTGTGATTAAACATTGATGTTGGTGTTGTATTATTTTGCAGGTAAAGATGAGCCCAGCAGCTACACATGTACAACTTGCAAACAGCCATTCACCAGTGCATGGTTTCTCTTGCAACACGCACAGAACACTCACGGATTAAGAATCTACTTAGAAAGCGAACACGGAAGTCCCCTGACCCCGCGGGTTGGTATCCCTTCAGGACTAGGTGCAGAATGTCCTTCCCAGCCACCTCTCCATGGGATTCATATTGCAGACAATAACCCCTTTAACCTGCTAAGAATACCAGGATCAGTATCGAGAGAGGCTTCCGGCCTGGCAGAAGGGCGCTTTCCACCCACTCCCCCCCCTGTTTAGTCCACCACCGAGACATCACTTGGACCCCCACCGCATAGAGCGCCTGGGGGCAGAAGAGATGGCCCTGGCCACCCATCACCCGAGTGCCTTTGACAGGGTGCTGCGGTTGAATCCAATGGCTATGGAGCCTCCCGCCATGGATTTCTCTAGGAGACTTAGAGAGCTGGCAGGGAACACGTCTAGCCCACCGCTGTCCCCAGGCCGGCCCAGCCCTATGCAAAGGTTACTGCAACCATTCCAGCCAGGTAGCAAGCCGCCCTTCCTGGCGACGCCCCCCCTCCCTCCTCTGCAATCTGCCCCTCCTCCCTCCCAGCCCCCGGTCAAGTCCAAGTCATGCGAGTTCTGCGGCAAGACGTTCAAATTTCAGAGCAACCTCGTGGTGCACCGGCGCAGCCACACGGGCGAGAAGCCCTACAAGTGCAACCTGTGCGACCACGCGTGCACGCAGGCCAGCAAGCTGAAGCGCCACATGAAGACGCACATGCACAAGTCGTCCCCTATGACGGTCAAGTCCGACGACGGCCTCTCCACCGCCAGCTCCCCGGAACCCGGCACCAGCGACCTGGTGGGCAGCGCCAGCAGCGCGCTCAAGTCTGTGGTGGCCAAGTTCAAGAGCGAGAACGACCCCAACCTGATCCCGGAGAATGGGGACGAGGAGGAAGAGGAGGACGACGAGGAAGAGGAAGAAGAGGAGGAAGAGGAGGAGGAGGAGCTGACGGAGAGCGAGAGGGTGGACTACGGCTTCGGGCTGAGCCTGGAGGCGGCGCGCCACCACGAGAACAGCTCGCGGGGCGCGGTGGTGGGCGTGGGCGACGAGGGCCGCGCCCTGCCTGATGTCATGCAGGGCATGGTGCTCAGCTCCATGCAGCACTTCAGCGAGGCCTTCCACCAGGTCCTGGGCGAGAAACATAAGCGCGGCCACCTGGCCGAGGCCGAGGGCCACAGGGACACTTGCGACGAAGACTCGGTGGCCGGCGAGTCGGACCGCATAGACGATGGCACTGTTAACGGCCGCGGCTGCTCCCCGGGTGAGTCGGCCTCGGGGGGCCTGTCCAAAAAGCTGCTGCTGGGCAGCCCCAGCTCGCTGAGCCCCTTCTCCAAGCGCATCAAGCTCGAGAAGGAGTTCGACTTGCCCCCGGCCGCGATGCCCAACACGGAGAACGTGTACTCGCAGTGGCTCGCTGGCTACGCGGCCTCCAGGCAGCTCAAAGATCCCTTCCTTAGCTTCGGAGACTCCAGACAATCGCCTTTCGCCTCCTCGTCGGAGCACTCCTCGGAGAACGGGAGCTTGCGCTTCTCCACGCCGCCCGGGGAGCTGGACGGAGGGATCTCGGGGCGCAGCGGCACGGGAAGTGGAGGGAGCACGCCCCATATTAGTGGTCCGGGCCCGGGCAGGCCCAGCTCAAAAGAGGGCAGACGCAGCGACACTTGTGAGTACTGTGGGAAAGTCTTCAAGAACTGTAGCAATCTCACTGTCCACAGGAGAAGCCACACGGGCGAAAGGCCTTATAAATGCGAGCTGTGCAACTATGCCTGTGCCCAGAGTAGCAAGCTCACCAGGCACATGAAAACGCATGGCCAGGTGGGGAAGGACGTTTACAAATGTGAAATTTGTAAGATGCCTTTTAGCGTGTACAGTACCCTGGAGAAACACATGAAAAAATGGCACAGTGATCGAGTGTTGAATAATGATATAAAAACTGAATAGAGGTATATTAATACCCCTCCCTCACTCCCACCTGACACTTCCTTTTTTCACCACCACCCCTCCCCCATCGCCCTCCAGCCCCACTCCCCCGTAGGATTTTTTTCTAGTCCCATGTGATTAAACAAACAAACAAACAGAAGTAACGGAAGCTAAGAATATGAGAGTGCTTGTCACCAGCACACCTGTTTTTTTTTCTTTTTCTTTTTTCTTTTTCTTTTTTTCCTTTATGTTCTCACCGTTTGAATGCATGATCTGTATGGGGCAATACTATTGCATTTTACGCAAACTTTGAGCCTTTCTCTTGTGCAATAATTTACATGTTGTGTATGTTTTTTTTTTTTTAAACTTAGACAGCATGTATGGTATGTTATGGCTATTTTAAATTGTCCCCGATTCGTTGCTGAGCAAACATGTTGCTGTTTCCAGTTCCGTTCTGAGAGAAAAAGAGAGAGAGAGAGAAAAAGACCATGCTGCATACATTCTGTAATACATATCATGTACAGTTTTATTTTATAACGTGAGGAGGAAAAACAGTCTTTGGGTTAACCCTCTATAGACAGAATAGACAGCACTGAAACAAAATCTCTATGAGCTAAATGTCTGTCTCTAAAGGGTTAAATGTATCAATTGGAGAGGAAAAAAAGGCCTTGAATTGACAAATTAACAGAAAAACAAAACAAGCTTATTCTATCATTTGGTTTTAAAATATGAGTGCCTTGGATCTATTAAAACCACGTTGATGGTTCTTTCTACTTGTTATAAACTTGTAGCTTAATTCAGCATTGGGTGAGGTAAGAAACCTTAGGACCTAGCATATAATTCTATATTGTATTTCTCACAACAATGGCTACCTAAAAATATGACCCATTATGTCCTAGTTAATCATCATTTTCCCTTTAGTTTTAATCTTATAAGCAAAACTGATTATACCAGTATAAACGCTATTTTGCTCCTGGTGAGAGCTTAAAAGAAATGGGCTGTTTTGCCCAAAGTTTTATTTTTTTTAAATGATTAAATTGAATGTGAAACGTGCAAAAGCCCTGGAATACAATTAAATGCATTAGTAAGGAATTCATTTTATGAAGATAACTTGTTTTAAATAATGTCTGTCAAAAAAAATTCTGGCACCAAAAGAAATAGATCCAGATCTACTTGGTTGTCAAAGGGACAATCAAATGATAAACTTTAAGACCTCGTAGACCATATTAAAAAGAAGAGACTGACAATAAGGTTTGACAGAGGGTAACAGGAAAAAAAAAATGTGATCTTTTAGCACAATGTGGTACTATTTGCCATTTTAAACTAGAACAGGTGTATAAGCTAATACTGACACAATGATGATTAACTATGAATTCTTAAGACTTGTGTTTAAATGTGACATTCTTAAAAAAGAAGAGAAAGAATTTTAAGAGTAGCAGTATATATGTCTGTGCTCCCTAAAAGTTGTACTTCATTTCTTTTCCATACACTGTGTGCTATTTGTGTTAACATGGAAGAGGATTCATTGTTTTTATTTTATTTTTTTAATTTTTTCTTTTTTATTAAGCTAGCATCTGCCCCAGTTGGTGTTCAAATAGCACTTGACTCTGCCTGTAATATCTGTATCTTTTCTCTAATCAGAGATACAGAGGTTGAGTATAAAATAAACCTGCTCAGATAGGACAATTAAGTGCACTGTACAATTTTCCCAGTTTACAGGTCTATACTTAAGGGAAAAGTTGCAAGAATGCTGAAAAAAAAAATTGAACACAATCTCATTGATGAACATTTTTAAAAAAAAAAAACTAAAAAAAACCTTTGCCAGCCATTTACTTGACTAATGAGCTTACTTACTCGGACTCAACATTGCAAGCGCTGTGAATGGAAAACAGAATACACTTAACATAGAAATGAATGATTGCTTTCGCTTCTACAGTGCAAGGATTTTTTTGTACAAAACTTTTTTAAATATAAATGTTAAGAAAAAAATTTTTTTAAAAAACACTTCATTATGTTTAGGGGGGAACTGCATTTTAGGGTTCCATTGTCTTGGTGGTGTTACAAGACTTGTTATCCATTTAAAAATGGTAGTGGAAATTCTATGCCTTGGATACACACCGCTCTTCAGGTTGTAAAAAAACATACATTGGGGAAAGGTTTAAGATTATATAGTACTTAAATATAGGAAAATGCACACTCATGTTGATTCCTATGCTAAAACACATTTATGGTCTTTTTTCTGTATTTCTAGAATGGTATTTGAATTAAATGTTCATCTAGTGTTAGGCACTATAGTATTTATATTGAAGCTTGTATTTTTAACTGTTGCTTGTTCTCTTAAAAGGTATCAATGTACCTTTTTTGGTAGTGGAAAAAAAAAAAAGACAGGCTGCCACAGTATATTTTTTTAATTTGGCAGGATAATATAGTGCAAATTATTTGTATGCTTCAAAAAACAAAAAGAGACAAACAAAAAAGTGTGACATTGTACAGATGAGAAGCCATATAATGGCGGTTTGGGGGAGCCTGCTAGAATGTCACACGGATGGCTGTCATAGGGGTTGTACATATCCTTTTTTGTTCCTTTTTCCTGCTGCCATACTGTATGCAGTACTGCAAGCTAATAACGTTGGTTTGTTATGTAGTGTGCTTTTTGTCCCTTTCCTTCTATCACCCTACATTCCAGCATCTTACCTTCATACGCAGTAAAAGAAAGAAAGAAAAAAAAAGGAAAAAAAAACAAAAACAATGTTTTGCAGTTTTTTTCATTGCCAAAAACTAAATGGTGCTTTATATTTAGATTGGAGAGAATTTCATATGCAAAGCATATTAAAGAGAAAGCCCGCTTTAGTCAATACTTTTTTGTAAATGGCAATGCAGAATATTTTGTTATTGGCCTTTTCTATTCCTGTAATGAAAGCTGTTTGTCGTAACTTGAAATTTTATCTTTTACTATGGGAGTCACTATTTATTATTGCTTACGTGCCCTGTTCAAAACAGAGGCACCTAATTTGATCTTTTATTTTTCTTTGTTTTTATTTTTTTTTATTTGGATGACCAAAGGTCATTACAACCTGGCTTTTTATTGTATTTGTTTCTGGTCTTTGTTAAGTTCTATTGGAAAAACCACTGTCTGTGTTTTTTTGGCAGTTGTCTGCATTAACCTGTTCATACACCCATTTTGTCCCTTTATTGAAAAAAATAAAAAAAATTAAAGTACACAACGTAAGCTTCTTGTGTCCTCATTTGACACACTCTGTAAATTACTTTCAAGAAAATAACAGGTTTTAAGAGAAGGCCAGTCAGTCTTTTTCAGGATTATTTCTATGGGCATTTTGATGCGTGTATTATACCCTAAGGTGTATATATACCCTACTCTATTAATATAGACATATCTCAAAACATGGAAATAGTTTTTAGATTTTATAGTTCTAGAATAATTTTCAAGAAATGGAAAGTGTTTTCAGTCTGATGTTAAAAACTTTCCCTTCATCTCTTAACGATAATCTATTCAGATATAAATGAAAAATTTACTGGTAATAGCATCTTAAACTTTTATTTCCTTTGGATTTTTTGCTGTTCTTGTTGTCTGAAAGTTCTTTTCTATTCTCCCTTCCCTGCCCTATCTTAGAACATAATGTAAAAAATCAGCTCTTTCGTTTCCATATGAGTCTTTCTTCATACCAAAAATAACCCCACCCTCCCCATAAAAATCCAGAAACAAAAGCATCAGGTTAACAGAGAGAGAGAGAGAAGTAACCAGTAGTTTAGCCAGATGTGGCAAGAATCTCTGGAATCAGCCACTGATTTCCTGAGATGGATGGTGGTTTGCCTTGTGCTTCTGAGGTCCTAGGGACCAGAGATGGGACAGATCTTTTAGGTGTTTTTATAGTGTGTTCCTGGCTGATAGCAAATGGCCGGGGGCGGGGGAGGGAATACCCTTCAGTGATCTTTTGCCCAACCAACAGATTTATGAAATGAAACATAGTCTTTGGAAAGCAGGTTAGGTCCCTTATAAAAACCCCTCCTTAGAAATCTGTGTTGTCAGTTTTACAAATACTGCATGCTGCAGCATCTATTTGCTTTATTAAAACACATACTTCTGTGATACTGTCTCCCTGTTCCCAGTGTAGATGAATGGTTACAACGTTGTTCTTCTTTTTGTAAAAACCAAAACAAAAGCTGTTCTGTTGTCTTGTGGTAGCATTTTTGTTGCTTAGGTCTTATGCCCTGGTGCCTGTGAGGTGGCCTTTTCATGTAATGCCTTTTATCTGAGGCAAGAATGGTTTTATCCTTTTAAAATACACAGAAAGTAGGTATATTTTTTTAAAGCCAGTTTGGGTGGGAAGCAGGGAGTGAAGGCAGAGAGGAATCCCGTACGAGAGGATTTGGGGCTGGGTATAGGAGCTGGGATGAGATGGACGTATTTTGCAGGACTTGGTAATTGGCAGTGAACTGAGAGGCGATATTTGTGTTTTGAATGAGGTTACTTCACAACTGAATCCAGAATACTATGCAAGGTAGAAATATTCCCCAGGGCCATGCCAGTTTTAGATGTGGTGACTTCTGCTCCACCATATCAAATGTCCATAAAACTGATGTGTGTCCCCTATTACTCTTTTATTAGGAGCTATGAGTGCAGCTGTGCAGGTTTTGTATACAGTGTTCGTTTTAATTTTTCAGTATATGATGCTCTTAGCATAATTAGGTTTTGCATCCTGACAGACAGAATTAATGGTGGATACTGTATACTTACTTGTATGTTCAAATTTCTTAAATGGGGAATGGGGAGGGGTGCAAGCATCTGGTGATAAATCACGGATTATGTTTGATTTACATGGTCCCGAAGTTAAATAAATTTACCGGGAGACACGTTCTTCAGGGTACTTAGTCTTCTGACTTATTGAAGCCCTCTCATAAAATCTTATTTCTGAAGCTGAGTGAACAATAGGAGCCTGAAAACCTAGGCAACAGGAATATAACTTAAAAATGGCACCTGTATCCGGAACCCCAAAATTAAAAATCTTAATGCAAAATAACAAAAAACATTTCCAACTGAGGATAAATTCATGATATTTTTTTAAATGAGGAAATACGAAGGATATTAACGTTTTTCAGAATTCTCCAGTTTATGTGATACCCCTGATGTGTTGATGCAATGTCCTCTACCTACGTGAACTCTTAACGCTTAAATGGTCCCTTCTATCTTCATTTGGAGAACAACTTAATAAACAGGAGGACAGCAAATACTACTTCTCACAGATTTTAACTTAGAAACCCTTCCAGTGCATGGACTACCTCTATCCTGAGACCGTTTCCCATCTTCTCTTTGTTTAGGACCTACAAAAGGACTGAAGCCAATACATTTTAAAGGTGGCTGAGAAGTGGGGTGAACACTTGGTTCTTCATTTGTACCAGCCTTGGCAGGAAGTGTGAAGTAGTTGAATTTTTCCCAGGGCCTTCTGTGATAGAACTGTTTATTTAAATACCATTTTTGTATATGTAATGAGTACGTACTGTATATGTTCATAATGCTTGAAGTGAGAATTTGAAAGGAAGTGGCAGTGGGGGTCAGATATCATTTCATTTGGAGCAATAAGGAAATGAGGTGGTTTATTCGCAGACACTAAGTTTGTTAAAAGGTACTGGGATATTTCAGGCTTTCCTGAGAAGGAGTTGAGGAGCCTCAGGCCCCATCCTGTCCTGCTTTGAACACTTTACTCTCAGAGCATGAGGGAGGAAATACGGTGTTTTCTTTTTTTTTTTTTTAAACCTCTTTCGCCCTCTGTACGCACACACAAACATGATTTCTTATGACTGTGTTGTAGTCGTGTGTTCTTCATTATGATTCTGTTACTCCATTGTTCCCGGGCCTGGTGTGTTCAAGAATGTACCCATCCCATTCTCTTTTCTTTTTTCAGACAACTTCCCATTAAAAAAAAAAAAAAGAAAGAAAGAAAGAAAAAGAAATGTGGGAGTTTTGCCAGTGTGAGGATGGGATTGGCAGTGTTCTTTAAACCTGCTTGGAAAAATGTTCTTTAAAAGACTGTTAACTTTTTAAAAAGGCATGAGGCACTTAGCAAATTTTCCTAAGTGTCTCCTAAGGCCCTGCAGCTTTCCCAATTAAGAATAAATGAACCCATGTTTAGAGAAATGGACATCAGGACACATAGCCAGAATTGGGATTATGTACATTTATTTCAGGGCTGCTATAGCTGCAAATGGTAGACATGGGTTGTTGAGTGTGCGCTTTTGCTTGCTGTCATCTTGTTATCCCATTAGCCCTCTGTTTCATTTAGTACAACACATGGCCAGTGAATCAGCCTTTAGGGGGATGGGTCTGTTTCTCTCTCTCTCTCTGTTTCCCAGTGTCATCTATGGTCATGGGATGCAATTAATTCCTCCCTTTCAAACGGGAAAGGAGACCAGTTCAGTTCACGTGGGTCATTGTACTTAAGAACTGAAACTTGCCTGAACACAACTCCAATGGTTGATCCAAATACTGTTTTTTCTTTCTGTAAAGTGGCAAAGACTACTTAAAGGGAGCGGATATCAGGTCCTTGTGATTCAGCAGAAAAGGCAAATTAAACGATTTCCCCCAAGTCAATCCTCTAACGCAGCATCCACTCCCCCACCCCCAAACCCATAGGGGGTTGTGCTGTGCTTTTCAATAACGGTGAGCGGGGTACATGCCCAGGCTGTATTTTGTCTGTTAGGGTTTTCAGTACTGGTAGCAGGTCGGACAAAGGGGTTTGATGGGGGTATCAGCTAGAGGGGCCTCAACGACAGTGACAGGGCTGGACTGGGAACGGGGTTCCCCAGAACCCACCTGGACACAGGAGGCCCCTCAGTCCGGGTCTCCACTGCGCAGGGGGAATTCGGGAGAGCAGCTGAGCTCCAGACCCTGGGCCTCCTGCGGCGCCAAGTCGGGGAAGAGGAGGCCCCAGGCCCCTGCTTCGGGTCGCCATGGCAACGAGCCCTGGAATGCCACAGTGGTAGCCCTCTTCCTCGGCACATCCGGACTCCCAGTTCTGCTGCTTCAAGTCAATGTACACAGCAAGGGAGGAACCCCGGAGGAAAATAACCACTCCCTTCTTCCCTTCACCATTGCCTTTCCCCCTTACCAAAAAGAAAAAAAGGAAAAGAAAACTGCATGTTTGAAAGAAACTACAGGCAGTTTTTGGTGCAATTTGGGAGCAACTATTTTGGGTTCTGGTTTCCTCTTCAGAGATTTGTTCGCCTCTTGTAAATCGTTGGCTGCTTTGACGTTGAACTTGATGACATTTCATGTTTTCGTTGTGCTGCTTTTACATCAATTTTGAGTTTCTGTTTCTTTATAATTTTATTATTATTTTAAGGAAATGTCCCCCTGCCCCCCTCCCTCCCCTGTTCTCCTCAACCAAAGGACTGTTTCCTACCCAGTTTTCTCAGTCATAAGGGAAAGTGTTTCCTTCCAGGTGTGTCCCCAGTTTATTAGGACTATCATATGAGCGGGTAGCGGGTCTGGGTCCCTGGCGGGGGAAGGCAGGGAGGGAGGCATGGGAAAGGCACTCAGAGGTCAGAGATGTGGGGGGAGGGGACTGAGTTTGAAATCATGTTTAAGATGCCAGTGGCTCAACCTGTGGTGGATTTAAGTTATAGTTTTAAAAAGCTAGTTAGAGAACAGAAAATCACTGGGCCAAGTCACACCTGTACTTTTTTTTTCCCCTCCTCTGTCTCCAACCTCTTTCTAGGTTCTTCACACACCCCCATTCGGCGTAGTACCCAGAGAGCTCAAGATGTGTGGCAGTTTTCGGATGGAAGCTCGAGAGCCCTTAAGTTCTGAGAAAATTTGAAGCCCCCAGGGGCGGGGTGGACGCGAGCCGCCCAGTCGACATCTGCGTGGTCTGTCATCCTGCTAGTTTGTGATGTTTTCTGACAGTAGCCTCCAAGAAGCCGTTGTGCGAAGACAGAGTCCTGCAGAGTCCTTCCTGCCCGGGCCTGCAGTGCCATTTTATTTATATTTTTTAATAAAAAGTAAAAACAAAAAAACAGACCCACATTGGAACAGTGAATCAGTCCCATTACAGAGGGCCCCTGGACCATCGCTGTCCTGAGCGGCGTCCTGGCCCTTTTAAAAACCAGCCAACCTAATTACCCGTATTGTGGAAATGAGCATGAGACCCCCAACCCCTTGTTTCTATACATTCTATGTTGTCTTTTAAAAAGTGTGCTTAACATTGACACAATAAATGTTGGAGCTTTAGGTGGTGTTTGCTTGTTCTTTAATTATTAATGCTTATAAGACAATGCCGCTGCTTATGACTTTGTATTTCTGTACCCGTTTCCTGCAGACGTCCATTGGGTGGGTAGGAGGAACAGATTTGAGGAATGGGTAGGAGGTGTAGGAGGGGAAAGAGGTTACTGCTTATCAGATGGCATAAATTTTCAAGGAGAATCAAAATGCAAAACTTGGGAATAAATCATAGCAATATCATAATTAATGTAGTAGTAGTGTTGGTGTTTATTAATGCTGAAGTGTGGTTTTCCTAACTGTCTGACTTATAATTTGCATACCATTAAATAATGCATAATATGGCATGCTGAATTCTGTTTTTCAAATATATGCTTTTGGTGGCTACCAAGCAGGATTTGAATTTGTCTTTTAATTTAGCTCAAGAAAGATAACGTCACTGGGTTAGTGGTAAATCCCAAAGAAGGTGATAAATGTCAATAGTGGCTTATTAAATATTCTAATTTTAGGTTCCCAAACCTTTAGCAAATATATCTTAATACAGACAAACAAACACACATAAAACTTCTTTATTACTTACATTACTTGTATCAGGAAATTTGGGGCAGATTTTATACGGCAGGGGAGGGAACTGTGGGAGGAAGGAGGTTCACATCAGAACACACAGTTATGATTGTGGCATCCATTCCTCAGAAATTAGTGACACAAATAAATTAGGTCTACAAACAGGTGAATAAAATCCCTTCTGGTCCAGTTAATTTACAAAGAACTTTTCTCAATTCGGTGTTTTCTATTGCCTGGAGAACCAGAAGAGAACTAGAAACAATATAGCATATTAAAATAGGTTTATAAATAATAGAACTCAGACACCTGTGTATTATAGATTTACATATTGGCTGTGAACGTAAGTGGGGAAAATCTTACCCACTCACTACCCTCTGGCTAGATTACCTAGCCTAGCGAGAAGATAGCAAAATAATTGGCATCTGGATTCTTTCCTGCTTATTCATCATAAATAATGACTTCTTACAGTAGTGTACTGCCTTCTACTTTATACAGTGCTTTCATGAACATTATTTCATCTGACCATCGTCAGGACAGATCCCACAACTTCCACTTTGTGGGTGAGGAGACTGAGGCTCACCAGGGTTAAGGGCTTGCCGCAGGCAAGGACGATGAGAGGGAGGGAGGGAAGCCAGGTGTTCTGGTGTCTAGTCCAGAGCTGATTTCACTGAACTCTATAACTGATCAAAGAGAGTGTCTCCCTTTGTTAGCACACAAGCCATAAATGTTCATAAACGCACACACGTATGACACACACACACACACACAGATCAAGGATGTCCATAGGTCAGGGCACGCAAAATTGTCCCTTCCTACCAATAGCCGTGGGCACTGCAGGAGGAGGTTGGAGCAAGGGTCCCTCCTTGCTGTCTTTTCCCAGTGTCTTTTCCACAAAAGATAAACAACCCTGATTGACTAGGTGGCCTGGATGAGTTTTTCCTCTCACCTAGGTGGGATGGGGCTTCCAGACAAGAGTTATTTCCTGGAGAAACACCCTCCCTGCCCCATGCTCTGCCTTTGTGTTGTTGAAACCTGAGACCAGTAGGGATTCTGTGACAGCATCTTCTCTGAATGTGCTAAGCTCCGTGCTGATACTTCCAAAAAGTGACACCATTTCCAAAGGGAGACCCGACTGAGATAGAACAAACAATCAAGATTCTTTTGGACAACGTCAGCCTTGGTGGGTAACTGCACTTGGTGTTCACTACACTTTCATTTCTGGTCTACGTTTCTGCCTCTACCTCTTTTTTCTTCTTGGAGTCAGAAAGTAAATGGGTAATTATAAATTATTGGATAATTGTAAATAATTGGATCCGTTATAAATACATGGCTATCTCTAGAAGTGGGATTTTTGTTTTTTTGAGGGGGTGGAGGAGGAGAGAGGGCGTGGGTAAGGGATATCTTTTCTTCCTCCCCCTTTTGGGGAAAGAAAAAGACGTCTCATTAAAAAAAAAAGAAAAGACCATCTCTTTCTACCATATCTTTTTCAGTTGGAAGAGAATAAAAGTTCATTTATGAAATTCATTATGAAATGATGGTGTTGTGCTAGGGCTAGAACTTTTGAAAAATCCACACAGGATTGATGATTTGGGAAGACATCTCCCTGTGCGATATGTCAAGGTCGTGGCTATCCGTGAATGGTGGAAGCCGAAGAAGGGACTGACAAATCTGATTGGAGTCCTCACTGTGCCCTCTCCTGAGAGTGAAACTTCAAATTGCAGAGAGATTAATTGGTTGCCCAGCATGTACTGAGCATGGATTAGAGGACACAGTCTCGGGTGTTCGGGAGGGTGGGGACCAGACATGGGACATTGTTCTTACCCTCCCAAGCCTGGTCTATGAACATTAATTTTGTGGTCTGTCCAGATTGTCACACTAAACAAAAAAGTCTAGTTAGACTTCTGAATCCATGATGGCAGAGACTTAGCAGCTCCTGCAAAAACTGGTGGTAGTTTAAAGAAAAATTTAGGCAAGGCAAGCAAACTTGGATTCTACTGAGGTCTAACCGAGTGCCCCAAACCTTGGCAGAATGTTTCCCTGGTATTTTTGCTTGGAGTTTTCAACAACTTTCGTATTAGAGTCAAGCCTTGCAAAAGGTGAAGAATATCTTTCAAGTATTGTGTGCACTGACACGACTTTCCTTTTTTTGAGGGCTAGTTGAGATCAATGTTGAAGAAGATGATTATCAATGTTAACATGTTTCCCTTCTACAGTAATGTTTATTTCTATCAAGAATTCTATCAAGAATCAGTGTCTCCAGGAAGTGGTGGTAGAGAGCATCAGAACTGAAGTATTTTGAGGACACCTGGGTGGCTCGGTTGGTTGAGCTCTTACCTCAGCTTGGGTCGTGGTCCCAGGGCCCTGGGATCGAGTTCTGTGTCGGGCTCCTTGCTCAGCGGGGAGCCTGCTTCTCGCTCTGCCTGCCGCTCCCCCTGCTTGTGCTCTCTTTCTCTCTGTCAAATAAATGGATAAAATCTTAAAAAAAAAAAAAAAAGAATTGAAGTATTTTGTAGGCTGTTGTTTCTCTTCTTCCATGCCATATAGCTTTGGCTTCTTTTGGGATATAGCGTGAGGAAACAGATTCGAGGAATTTACATACTGGCTGTGAAGTCAATATGAAGTTGAATTGGAATTTCAGAAACAACGAATGTTGCAAGCACACCTTCCTTCTTCAAGGATTCATTCTGTCTGAGTTCTTAACCAACAGGGAAACAATAATGCTATTTCTTTTCTCTGAGTCTCTAGCAGAGACAGCACTCCTCAGTTTGCACTCCCCCAGGGTTACATTAAGACAAAGTACTTCACACTTTCAGCAAAATCCAGAAACGTAATCGTTTTCCTTCCTATCTTAGTGTAATTAAGATACCTTCTTGTTAAATCACATTACTTTTCCCCCTGGCTTTATATTTTTAAGAATGCTCCCAGAAAATACCTAAGGCTTATAGAACACTTTTATAGATATGATAGAATCAATTTTCCTAGAGATTCTAGAAAGGTGGGCCAAGAACCGACTACAGCAGAAAGGAACCACAGCAATCATCCACTTTACAGATCGGGGCAGCAGAGTCTCAAAGATTAAGCAAAGGATCTAAGGTCACACAGCTTGGGGAGGAAAAAAAAAAAGTGAGAGCCAAGCTCGAAATCACACAGTTAGTGGTTGAGTCAGAATTGGAACTCAAGTCTCCAGCTCCCGTGCAAAGGAATTCAAGCGGCAAATCTCTCCCTTGTGACCTACTAAATTCAGAAGCAAGAGCGGCAGAAAAGTGTGCATTACGGAAGGTTTTAAGAATAAAATCAAAAGCTTGTTGTGGTGCCAGTCCTGGTGGGGAGCATGTGAGCATGTCCCATATTTCAAGGGTTTCTAAGCAGCATCCCGATGGCAGAGAACATTTAGGTCACTACCTGAAAGCATTCCTCCTTTAATTCACCCCTCCAATGGTAGAAATAAACTTAGGGACCCAGAATTGCTGCGAGACAGCTTTTAAAGTTAAAAGGGCATAAAAAAGAGCTACTCATCAAACCAAATTCATCTCGAATGACTTAAATAGATTCCACAATCTGTTCCATTCTCTAGACAGAATTTAAGAGAAACACCCACTTAATTTGAATTTCAAGGCCGCATCACATCCTGTTAGAGAATCCAAATAGCCAATAGCATGACCTGAATCTTGTTACTGGGGATATTTAATTTTGAGTTCAAAGGTGGTGTAACAGCAACGAACGGCAGGGAGGATCGACTGAACGGGTATACAACTCTGTGTGGTGAGGATTATTTGCCTTCACATGCTAGTTAGGCCACGCGTTCTTTTCTGTGCAAGATGAAATCCTACCCACTTGCCCCTTCCTTCGATCAGGGGTTCCTGCCTCTGTTCAGAGATGTACAAATCCCGCCTCACCCTTTATTAGATCTGCTGCCTTCAGCTCTTCTGCCGCCATTTCTTTTCTCGCCAGCCATCCTTTGATTCGCATTCCCTTCTTTGAATGGACAGGGGTTGACTCCGAATGTCCCCGGGCCTGATGGGGCTGCAGTTGTGGGCAGCAACAAAGTCATCCCTGAAATAGGAGCGGGACAGCGGGACGTCTCACAGAGCGACAGCCAATCAAATATCCCTGTTGAAGATGGTCTGAGAGGAAGTAATTTGCCTGATTTTTCCCCCCTGGCGATATAGTCTCTTGAATTTCCCGAACTGGCACTGCCTACCAGCAACTTCTGCTGACATCGGGGTCCCTTCCGCTCCTCTCTCCGGGCTGACTTGTCCTCTCTCCTCAGACACAGAGAAAGCCTGCTGAGAGGAACGCGGAGATCACCTTCCTACGGGCTCTGAGGTTTGCAGAGTTGCTCACACCCCTGTTTCCGAGTGCCCGGGTGCTCACCTGTTGCTTGCCTCACCACGCGAAGGGGAAAAACCAAAATGCAAATCCTCCTCCTCAGAAATTCACTCAAAGCT